GTAGCAAGAGGTAGTTTTCCAAAGCATTCAAAATCAATTTGTCTCATTATCAAATAAATATTATGGAGATCACGAAAGAATCGTCTTGTGAAGATGTCATCGCCTACTTGAAGGAGAAAAATCTAGACGATTTAATCGATAAATTTGAAGGTATGTTGATGTATACAATATACATAGGGTATAGTATATTGATATGTGCGATTGAATAATTTTTCCGTGTTTGTATTAGAACATAAACTTGCGGTAGCCCAAGACTAAGCTTATTACTCTTTGGCACCGGTCAATACAAGCCTGGGAAGAAGAAAATAAAGACGGAGAGAATGAATGTTTATGATCAATTTTTAAAAACTAATTTGAAGCGAAGAAGTTTTGAATTTAGCGCGTGCCGCGTGCCATCCTCATTCCTCACACCTTAGTCGTTCATGATTGGTCTGTTGTGTTGTTCTATGTCACTTCGTTTCCGATTAAATCCGACAGCTTACTGAACATACTCTTAAGAATAATAATTATGTAATCTCTGAACGAAGCTAAAGCTATTAAACCATGTATTGAAAATTTATTAATATTTATTTCAGAAAATGAAGTTGATGGGGAAGACTTCTTTAATTTAGACATGAATGACATCTTACAATTGATCCCGCGTTTAAAACTACGCAAGAAGTTTATCCCTTTTTGGCAAGAGGTCACTCATCAGGTACTTCACCTACGGTGTATACTGTTGTATTTTTTTATCTAACATATAACATCTAACCCAGCTATTAATTCGACAGCCAGGGCTGCTTTTCTAAAATTTGCACCCACCTTGTTCAGGGCAAATTCTTGTGTGTCATGTACGTGTTGTGTAGGGAGAGTTAAATTTTAATGGTATACACTATACAAAATATCTTTTTAAAAGTTAAAATGTAACCCCTTCCCATGTCTTAAAATGTTTTAATAGGGGCCAACTGGACTGAGGACACCATTGAGCAACATAGTTACAACAAGCCCAGACACTGATTTTAGTCTTTCACTGAGTAGCTCAAGCAGCATAATATCAGTGGATGATAGAATCAACTCCCAATCCAGAGAAGGTTCAAAGGTTGTTTCAAAGAGAACTCTAGTTTATGAAGAAAACACATCACCCTTTAAAGAAATCCAACCAAGTAAACGACCATCAAATGCTGTAAAAGAGGTATGTGCAATTTTTTTTTGTATTATTTGCTTGCGCATAGTATGTATCCCCCCTCATGTATTTCAAAATGTTTTACCAGGGTCCAATTGGATTAGGGGTTCCATCGAGGAACTTGTGTACAACAAGCCCACTTACTGAGTCTGATTTTTCAAGTACTCCAAGCAGCATCAGTTCAATTGATGATATATTCCACTCTCAATCAAGTTCTCCAAAAGTTCTGTCAAAGAGAACACTTGTTTATAAAGAAAACACACCACCACTGAAGGTACATATATATAGAATTTATTATTATGTGTGTATAATAATTTATGTATTTATATTGTCTCTCTTTTGTTACGGCATGTGCATAATTTTTCCTTGAATTCAGGGACTGCACCACCATACTGTAGGTACAGTATGGTATCTATATCTGTGATTACATTACTCTAAGGAGGTATAATATATTTACTAATTGTGTCTTTACAGAATAAATTACCCACAAGCCTACCACAAGTTAATGAATCAAACTGGCTAGGCAAGTTTTGTTTACCTACAAGGGTAAGTAAATCACATAATTTGATTATGTGATAAACTCTAGGTACCACACAATGTGGATTTTAACACCATCCATAAGAAACGGGTATATATTAATAATATGTAATGTATAAAAATAAGCAGAACTTAGCTGGCATTTCTCCTACTCATGTGATAACTAATGTGCATGTTTGCCCTTGATTTGTTTGTAGTGGGAACCCGCTGTTGAAAAAGCACTGGAAAATAGATATCTTAATCCAAATGAGAAAAATGCATTGAATAGGCAACTTACTGCTTCAATTATGGCCCACACCGACTCACCAAAAGTACTGAACGCAACCACATTGGCCTTGTTACTTGTTCAAAATACCATGTTTGAAGGGATCATATGGTCCAGGACATGTAAGTTCATACAGGATTTTTTATTTATTTATTGGCCAAAACTTTCCAAAAGTTATGGTGCTGTGTTTCATATGAATTTATTGCTTTGCAGCAACAATGGGCCAATAAAATTGAGGAACGTGTGCGGAATCTCAGAAAAAGAGCCTCCAGAAATGAGAAGAGGAAATACTTGGAGGAGGGTATTGTGATACCGAAAGGTAAACCTGGTAGGAGAAGAGAAAGATGCAGACAACATCACTTCCATCAATTCCTGAAGGTGAAACCGATGAAACCTTAGAAGCTCTGCAAAAAGTATTGGTGGGGATGTGGAGAGATGGAAAGCATGACCTGCCTAAGGTTAGAGCTCTGATGGACAACACATTTGCAAAGCGTCGAAGAGATGTTTTAATTAATGATGAAAGAGTTTGGCAGCTGCTAAACAAGTATCCCTTCTTCAAGGATTGTAAAGGGGTTGAAGTAAGTTGCCTGTTAATGTAGCTAATTTAAGTGCATGTCTTCTACAGTACAAACATTTCATATTGAATGATTTATATGCCCTATATTTTATTCAACCAAAACATGCACTCTTGTGTATGACCCAGTGGCAGTTACTGACCTGCCATGTAATGTGGAGTCAGGCATAATATTCAATGATTCTTTGGTATGTTTGTGAAAACTGACTGATTTTTTTTCAGACTTATATCATTTCATTGATTTACATAATTACCATTTTTTAGTTGAAGGCAGAGTTGGAACGAGTCCTGGACAAGGAAGGGATTGTAAAGGATATGAAAGAACACTGGAATGTTAACAAACAAAAAGTTTTCACCGCCATCAGGAAGTCAAAAGATAAGGAAGTTCATGACATCCTGGAACTCTGTGAGGATTGTGCCACTGAGGATGAGAAAGGTTTGCTATTTTGTTGTTTTTTAATTTTAACTGTCCATTAAGATTTATTCTGAATCAATATAATAAAGTAATATAAAGTCTATTGTTTAATACATATAGAGATCGAAAACCGTTGTATCATGGCCTCATTACCTCATGTACTTGGTGACAGGAAGACCCACAACAATAAAGTTGGGGAGCATTTTTGGGAGATTGTCGATGTAAGTTAATTTGTGTGTGATTGTTAACTATAGATTCCTTTATATAGAGCCCATTGCTTTTCTTGGGGACAATTTGGCTAATGCTCAATTTTGCTAAAACTGTATCATGAGTATCTAAAATGTTTTACAATCTTTAATACTTCAACTAATTTCTTCATTCTATCATCCCACAGAATGATATAGCAGGAGAAGTCAAAAGGAAGATCGAAGAATGTAAATCCCCAAAATTATTGTCGACAGGCTCATTGGAGAATATCGATTCCATGACGTTGGTGGCAGAGGGAATGGTTGTGGCAAAGTTTAGAATATTAACATTCTAAATGCTGTGATTTGTTTACTTTCTGCATATTACACATTCAATGCAGAGTATCCGAAGGGTGCAACTGGGCACAGCAAGAACGTATATCTATTCTTAGAACATTTGCTTCTCCCGTCCAGTGGAAAGAAGAGAATGCAGATACCGATGTCTATCGACAATTCTATTTCGTCATTGGACTACGTCACTAAGGAGTCACGTGAGATATGCGCACGCAGATCGAGTGTTCAGTTGCCCGCATAGTTTTACGAGTGTACGGTCGTGTATTTCAAGTTGGCGAGAAAAGTTTTCGAAGTAGATGAAATCTGCCGTCTGACGACGAAGAGAAAAGATTACTAAATGAAACGAAGTCGAAGAAGTAATGGTTGAAAGTAGTGATGAATTTCCAAAAGCCATGAAGGAGTTTTTCATTAAAATGTCAGCGAAGATGTCGTCAATGGAGCAATCAATAGAACGGATGAATCCTGGCTCTATGGGTGGTTTCGAAGAACCTACAGCGAAAAAACGAAAAAGATGCGAAGAACAAGAGGAAGATGATGCTGAAAGAGACCTCAGCGATGACGAAAATTTACTCCAAACGACAAAGCCCCCGGCCGACTCGGCCACAGAGGGCACAGCAACTGACGTCCCATGTGCTCAACTTGAGCATGACGCTTTGCTAAGTGAAATCTCACAAGATTTCGACAAAGAAGAGGACCTCGGTCCCGATATAACCCAGCAACTTGCTGAAATTATAAACAAGCGCTGGTCTACAAAGCTCAACGAGGCAAAAATGAAAGAAAAAATGGAAAAATATTCCCGACCAGCCAACTGTGAAAAGTTGATTGTCCGCGCGTAACACGGAAATTTGGGATAAGCTCGATAACAAAGCAAAACATAACGATCTTCGAGCCACGTCACTTCAGAAATCACTGGCCAAAGTAGGGGCTATTCTTGCTCAGTCAACGGAAACGCTTCCGCAAATGAGGCAGAAAAAGCTGCCAGCTGAGCCTGACAAACTCGTGAAATTAAATACAGATGCCTTGGCATTAATAGGTCACATTTCGTGTGAGCTCTCATTGCGGCGACGCGACGCCATAAAACCAAACTTGCATAAGGATTATAGCAGTTTGTGTGCCTCGCACGTGCCAGTAACGTCGCTTTTGTTTGGAGATAATCTTCAAACGAGGCTTAACGATATCCGTTCCTCAAACAAAATCAGTAAAACCACCGTCCAAGAAAGATTTAGCCAAGCGAAAGGACGAGGTCGGTTTTCGACAAGTTGGTCAAATAACAACAATGGCACGGAGAACAGACAGCGAAGAGGTAATCATTTTTTATCCAAGGGTCGCCAGTGGAAGCAGCACCCACCCAAAGCCTCTTTCCACTCAAAGAAAGATTTGCAGACGAGGAACACGCAGTGGCAGTAACTATTGCAGACAATTCAGTTTTACAAAATTTACAGGTAAGCAATTTCGAAGAGCTCATGCCTGCTGTTATCGATTATTCAACATGAGCTCCACTTCTAAATTTATTATATCAATAAATTCTTAAACACATCCGAAATTACTAAAACAATAATTTCGCGACGCGTGGCCGAGCATTATGAAACGGAAAGAAACTGGGTCAAAACCAACTCAAATCTTTCACAATGGCGGAGAATTTTGAAAGGGCTGCCAATGCTCGCAAGAAGAAACTCCCTTCCATGGATTGTCTTATTAGGCAAGGTAATGATATTTTAGAAAAGCGAAAAAAGAGAAGAAAGCCTATTCATTATGAGTATAGCACGGATCCAAAAACTGGCCAACGGAGTTGCAAAAATACTTACAATCCAAAGTATTATAATCGCGATGATACCGCCTCTAGTTCAAGATCAAAAAACTTAGAGGAACACAGCGATAATATTTTCCAAGGTATGCTTCTGTTTGTAACATTTTACACAGAACCTACGCCAGATAGGTCCCATCATTCGGATGATTTATTATTTTGTCACTTTTTACGTAGAACAAGAACCACCAGAAGTAAGTTTATTGGATCGTGAATCAGATATGGATGTAACGACAAACGCTGTAGAGGGTATGGATCTAATATAAATATGTACAATTACAACAGCTAAAAATGCTGTGAAGTTTTTAATCCGCTTTGTTGACATTTTGAACCGCTATTGTAAAATATGATGTGCTAAAAGTCAATATTTATTATCTAAACAACGTTCGTATAGCTTTGTGTCCTCTGTGACTACTGACTAGACATTATACACATGCTGCCACATTGCTAGATTGGCTGTGTGCAGGGAAGATTGTGACTCATCATTCACACATATTGCAAACTTTCCAATATGGATACTGTTTATGCATTTATATATTGGAATTTAAAGACCCTGCTACTTTACAAAACTTGGTTTATCGAATGTATATTAAACTTAATGGTGTAATATGGTGTACAATGATTTTGTGGCATTCTACCTAGCAGCTCATTTTTAAAGCAGTATCATCGATTTTGTTTAGATGTGACAATGAATGATATCCTTGAAGAAGCAAAAGGATTATTATGTAACTGGAAATGTGGTGGTCAGCAAAGAAACGAACCTGGCATGAAAGACAAAATTCCCTTTATGAAAGCTGGGAGGAAGTCAGAAGTAGTTTAATCGAAGTTTTGCTGCAAACTAAATTTTCCATTGGCATTTTTGATGAATTGTTATGCGAAAGCTGTAAAGATGCCATGGCAGTTATTGGATGTCAAGACTGCATTTCACATAGATATGTCTGTGGGGATTGTGATGAGGAGAACCATAAGAACCATCCATTTCATGATCGAGATGCAATTTTGAATGGTTTTCATGAACCTATTCCTCCAACAGCCTCAATTAACAGCAAACTGGAATGGATTACTGTTGGTAAATATTATAGCATGGCTAAAAAGATGTAACTTATACCTTGTGTCAAAAGGTGCATTGTGACCGTGATACTCTCAAGATGCTCTTTAAATATGAAATTTAGCATGATCTATTTAGCATTTATGTCAAACCTAAAGTTCATTTTACATGAGTAAATATTCATTGGCAAATTTTCTCATAAAAATTTTATTAGGTCTTTTTCAAATAAAGAAACACAGAAACATATTTGTCACATGAAATTTGTAAAAAAATTGACCAGTCAGTATTATCTTTGTATTATCTCAGCATCTTTGTGAAACTCTAGGTGTGAGATAATGTTTTCCCTTGGTAGGAAAGTTCTGCCATTTTTAGAGGGTTCTTCAAACAGTTTCTGAAAATATATGAATTGTCTATGTATTTTTTAGAACGGTCCCTTCCATTTGGTGATGTTATTTGTCCCACATGCCTATTTCCTTGCAATATTTTATATGATGAGAAGGGTATGGGTTGCATTGCTGTAACATTGAAAGGTATGCTATTTTAGTTGTCTTTTTTATTCACAAAAACATTGTCTTTCTGAAATAGATTCTATAGTTTTATACTGTAGCTATAAATGATACATTATGTAGGCTGAACCTAGCTCCTGCAAGATTCAAACCAGATGATGCTATTCAGATAGGCTTTATAGGCCAAATGTTGATCTCTATCATGGAACTCAAAACTTTATTTTTGTGCTAATTGGTTAAATATTTATTTATCTTCAGGTAGATTCGACATTAGTCACACAAAATATGAATGTAAACAATGTGACAATGTTATTTCATCAACAAGTCCCCATGTTTTAATACAGCTGGGGTTTTGGCCTGGAACTATTCGTGACATGACATATGTATTTCACCAAGATCTCTTTCATTTCTGGGATAATTTACAGAAGATTGTTCCTGGAATTTCTCAAATAGTTTTGTGAAATCACTAGAAATGTTTTCGATACAAAAAGGGCGGGTACGTTTAAACCAACTTCTAAGTATCAACTTCAATGTATCGCTTCATGCAAAAAATGGAATCCTGTTCTTTTATGATTATGTTTGCTAATTGCCTCAGTAGTTAATAGTTGTACAGATATTAGTTTGATGTATCTTTCTCTATCTTTTATATAGATGGGAACAATTAACAGCAAAACATTTGGTAGCTCTTTTCGTGAATGGAAATATTGCCAATATGAATTGAACAAACTACGGCATATTAACTGGATGGAGTGCCCTGCATGTGAACAGCAGCAACACTCCGTTCACATGGATGGTAACATGAAACTTTATCGGTACAAATCTGCTGGGATGTAAGTACATTTTGTACACTGAATCACAGACGATGCATTGCAGGAATGCACTAGCTTGGAGGGAAATCGTCAGCTCATATACAACTGAAATGCGTCTTGTATATCACCTAGAAAGAGTTTCAAAGTTATTTCATCATATGTATGTTTTAAAGAGGATAAATTGAAATTATTTAGCAGGAAAAGAGATTGCTACTATGGAGATGCTTTATTGCTTCAAATGAAAAAGTTCAACATCATCTCTGTAAAATTTACAAAAAAGGAAAGGAAAAGGTATTGTTACAATTTGTCTTCTCAAACAATACGAATTTTCGTTTACCTCAAAACAATTATAGAACAATAGTCCCATTAAATATCAATGTGTGACATTTGGTGTGGGAAGTTTCTGACCGTAATGCTATGATTTGTAACAAATATTTAGATTATTTTTATACCAAGTGGATCTACTGTACGTATAAAAATAATCTAAAATCGAGCTGTTTCAATTCGGCTATACTTTACCCTAGGTCACAGATGATTCTAAGTGTGGCGATTCTATTTGGCATGCTGCTGGAAATACTTTGAAGAAAAAGAAAATTGTTGATGAAACTGGGCTAGAAATTGCTGGCTGTCGTCACAGTGTTGCCCAGCATGCAGTTAGCATGAAGCACGGAGAAGTGTATGGCTATGCACATTATATGCAAAAGGAATATTACCTTCGTCGTACAACACAATTCTTCTGGTATGATGTCATCTGCAAGTATTGGCCTTGGCTGTGTAAAAATGATGTAACCACATCTCAAAAGATGAAACCTGCTCTTTCCGTAATGCATGCCAAAGCACATGCTTGGTATTGCCAGGTAAATTTCCTTGTGCTTATTATATTTCGTACGTGGCAAGTGTGCAGTCAAGTGCAGTGTCCATTGTGTAATCTTTTTTGCAGGTTATTTGGGGAGGGCGATGGCAAGATGGCGCTTCTGCAACAACAGGAGAGGAAGTAGAACAGATTAACAGTCATTTCTCGCGGTTAGGGTGCACTACCAAGCATATGTTACCTGAAGGTAAGCATGTGCAATAAAATTATCAAACCAGTTAAACGTTTAATTCTGATGTATGCATACATAGGACGAGAGGAATTGCTGACTGAACATGCACTGGAGTGGAATAAAAGAAAAATAACCAAACTGTCAAGTATTCTTGCGAAAAGATATACAAAAGTTATTAATTTTTCTATTTTTTACCTAATAGTAATAGTAACTATACCATAACAAGGGAAACCATAACAAGGGAAATTTCGTTTTAGACCAATCAGTAAGTTTGTTTACATTTTCAGTAACCCAATCAGAATAATCATCATTTTACATGATGTATTAAAAATTTAGGCATTCTGATTGGCTTAGCCTAAAAAGTGTAAGCAAATATGCCGAATAGTTTAAAACGAAATCCCCCTTGTCACATAACATAGCTACAAATACTTTGCCAAATCCGTTTCGGTAGTTTTCGTCAAAAAATAAGACAGAAACAAATTTATTAAAAAAAAAGGTGTGGGTAGAAATTTAAAGCGTGGAGGATTGAAAAATATGTAGATGCAATGCAAATTTCCCATGCACGGAAAGGGGAGTACTGAAATGTATAATCTTCTCTTGGAAAAATTAATGTGTTCTGTACTTTTATATGCATGGTTCTAGGCTAAAGATAAACCGCCATCATGCAGAAAGAATTAGAAAGCATGTCAGAGAAACTTGAGTGTGATCCAACAACATTACAGAAATGGAAAGAAGATATATTTGACGCTGCTAAACGTACGTATAGTTTGTGTAGTTTTGTTCAGTTTACATGCAGTACATGATACTGTGGCGAATCTATTATTATAAATAATAAAACTAAAAACGTTAGGTATGCTCTTCTCAGAATGCGATGTCTTGGTGTAATTTTTTCGTGCAATGACGACGTGTTTCTTTTTTCTCTTTCAAATTTATGTCAGTGGATGAAAAATCGAGAAATAAAAGATATTCCATAACTCCGGAGGAAATGAAATACATATGTCATTTGCTCACATTAGATGTGTTAACGCCAAAAGAGAAGGCCTTGTTTGACGTTGCTGAAAAGATTTATAAGGAAAAATCTAAACAGTTTCAGCCCAAGATCTGTCGCAATTATTCCTTTGGTGAAGGTGTTTTAAAAATAAATCTTTGGAATATTTGAGATACAATATGGAATTCCATCATAACGCGATCTCTCATCTGGCATTTAACATTGCAAAACTTGCAGGTGGTTCTACATTTAATAGCTACATTTTCAGTGTCTCTTCCTTTATTTCAGTAGTAACATTTAAAGCCAACGTTTCCGTGCGAGTAAAACACCCATAAAAAACGAAACCGCGGAAAATTAGCCTCCACATGCGGGATAAAGGGAAGGTAACATTTTAACCAAATATTATTTTCTTCAAGATTCTTCGAAGCAACGAAATAAGTTAAGGAGAAAGATCAGCAAAGAGAAAGAGAGTCCATTCTTTGATTTCAAATTATAATCGAATTGCAGACGAACCGCTAAGCAACATAAAGAAATTTTAAATGGAAAGTTTCCATGGAATTCTCGGAACGAGCCAGTTGATGAGTGTGAGTAGCTACTGTTTCTCGTATACAGACTGAGCCAGGCTTGCAAATAGAACTTGTACGTACATAATTATAATTGCCGGACGCGTAGTACATTATATATGAATATATTGTGCCTTTCATACAATAGTGCCTTTGGTAACGAGACGATCTGTGGTGGATAAGTTGATGGAAATTCAACGGTTTCAGGAGGAAATCGAAGTTACTAAAAAGGAAATGTTCCAATACCTTGAATATTACACCAAGAAATGCCTTCCGGCACTTTATAGCGAACTTGCAAAATTGGAAAACCTGCTGCAAGGTAATTTTCCCGGTCACTTTTAGAATTGTGAAATATAGAGTATGTTTTCAGCGATCGATTGCAAAAAGCTTTTGTCCTTATTGGAAAAATGTAAATTATGTTTTTAAACTCTGTGAGCTGCGCGTCAAAGAACATAAGCAATATAACCTTGACTGAACTGCAGTCTATTCGGCTAAATGCAACAGATCCAAATTTTTATTGCAGGTGTAAAGGCTGGTTTTCATATAACGTAATTCTTTGACGATGGTTATTGTGTCGGTGGCCCTTGACATCTGAAAACCAGGCTTAAAATTATTTTTAATTTTCGAACATATAGGTAAAAGTCGCAGCCAATGTGGTGGTGAACAGCCTGTTCTTGCGGTGGAAAGTGCTGTGTGTGTGGTATGTTTTTCGGCGGTAATTACTTTGTAGGTTTAAAGGGTGATGAAGTACAATTTATGCATATTTGTGGATAGCCCATATCCTGAATCATGCAGTGAACATTTCAGCTACCATATTGTAACCATCTTCACGAAGCACGAAGTTTCTTGTATACGAGCAAATGTTATGGTTGGAATTACTGCATTACATGCATGGTGTATCAAAAAGCTAAAACCTACGCCGTACATACCTTCTCATGGACGCACATTTTTATTGTTTGGCCATTATGTAAGCTCTTGGAAGGTCTATTGGGTGTTAATTGTGTGTATCTAATGCGAAGATGCGATAATTTAAAAGTTATTTAGGTCCGCAATTTCCTTTTCGACATTTCTGTAAGCCACATCTGTAAGCTATGCGATTGCTTTTTATGTAACGTATATTGAAATCTTTTTATTTTAGGCAAAAACCTATTCTACAAGCTCAGTCAAAAGGACCATTGTCAGAGGAAAGCTTGCCTTGGTTAACGAAGGAATTAACTTTGCCATGCAACAATTAAGGCTTGGAATCCAATCTTTCTTGCCAGTTCTCGGTTTACAATTGTCTGGATTCCAGGACATAATTGAGTCGCACAATGACAATACTAAGCAATCCTATGAAGATGTGGAGGATGAGCTGGAAAGAGATACAAATTTTGATATGGATAGTGAAACCGACAGTGACACTGATAACGACAATGAGAGTATCTATTCCGAATGGGAGTTTGACACCTAAGATGGTCGATACGTCCCTAATTATTCGTGCTTGTTGTAAAATGTTATAATTCGTAAAGTTATTTTCTTCGCTTTAAATCCTAAAAGTCGTTTATTATTTAAACACAACTTCTGAATTCTGTACAAAATCAACTTTGTTTCGTAAAGTTAAGGGCGTCCTGGAACAATACCCTTTTGAAGTCGTATATATATTTTGACTTATTAAAATATAATATCTTTGTCAAGGCAACAATTTTTTGGCCGTGGAAATTATAAACAGATATGAGGATTTACTTATGTCAGTTCTATATATATTGCTAACTAAAGGTATATGAAAGTATACTAATTTGGCTGTTTTGTGCGTTTTTGTGTCATCTTGTGGTAACAGGGTGCTTAACTGCTGTAAAACTAGGGTGTAGTAACACCAATGTCGACAAAATCGCACATTTGTCACGTTTTTGTTCCTAATTTACTGTTTTGTGCGTATTTGTACCATTTGTGGTAACAGGGTGCTTAACTGCTGTAAAACTATGGTGTAGTAACACCACTGTTGACAAATCGCATATTGTCACGTTTTTGTTCTTAATTTACTGTTTTGTGCGTATTTGTACCATCTTCTGGTAACAGGGTGCCTAAGTGCTGTAAAACTATGATGTAGTAACACCAATGTCGACAAATTCACATATTTAACACGTTTTTGTTGTTAATGTGTTTGTTTTGTGCGTTTTGTGTCTTATTGTGGCAACAGGGTGCCCTAACTGCTGTAAAACAATGATGCAGTAACACCAATGTTGACAAATTCGCATATTTAACACGTTTTTGTTGTTAATTTGATTGTTTTGTGCGTTTTTTGCCATTGTGTAAAGGTGTGTAACTGCTGTAAAACTTGGTGTAGTAACACTAATGTCGACAAATCGCATATTTGTCACGTTTTTGTTCCTAATTTACTGTTTTGTGCGTATTTGTACCATCTGTGGTAACAGGGTGCTTAACTGCTGTAAAACTATGGTGTAGTAACACCAATGTTGACAAATTCGCATATTTGTGACGTTTTTGTTCCCAATTTACTGTTTTGTGCGTATTTGTACCATCTTCTGGTAACAGGGTGCCTAAGTGCTGTAAAACTATGATGTAGTAACACCAATGTTGACAAATTCGCATATTTAACACGTTTTTGTTGTTAATTTGTTTGTTTTGTGCGTTTTTGTGTCTTATTGTGGAACAGGGTGCTAACTGCTGTAAAACATGATGTAGTAACACCAATGTTGACAAATTCGCATATTTAACACGTTTTTGTTGTTAATTTACTGTTTTGTGCGTTTTTTGCCATCTGTGGTAAAGGGTGTGTAACTGCTGTAAAACTTGGTGTATAACACCAATGTCGACAAATCGCATATTTGTCACGTTTTTGTTCCTAATTTACTGTTTTGTGCGTATTTGTACCATCTTGTGGTAACAGGGTGCTTAACTGCTGTAAAACTATGGTGTAGTAACACCAATGTTGACAAATTCGCATATTTGTGACGTTTTTGTTCCCAATTTACTGTTTTGTGCGTATTTGTACCATCTTCTGGTAACAGGGTGCTAACTGCTGTAAAACTATGATGTAGTAACACCAATGTCGACAAATTCGCATATTTCACGTTTTTGTTGTTAATTTTGTTTTGTGCGTTTTGTGTCTATTGGTAACAGGGTGCTAACTGCTGTAAAACATGATGAGTAACACCAATGTTGACAAATTCGCATATTTAACACGTTTTTGTTGTTAATTTATTGTTTTGTGCGTTTTGCCATTTGTGTAAAGGGTGTAACTGCTGTAAAACTTGGGTATAACACCAATGTCGACAAATTCGCATATTTGTCACGTTTTTGTTCTTAATTTACTGTTTTGTGCGTTTTGTGTCATCTTGTGGTAACAGGGTGCTTAACTGCTGTAAAACTATGGTGTAGTAACACCAATGTTGACAAATTCGCATATTTGTCACGTTTTTGTTCTTAATTTACTTTTTTGTGCGTTTTTGTGTATCTTGTGGTAACAGGGTGCTAACTGCTGTAAAACTATGGTGTAGTAACACCAATGTTGACAAATTCGCATATTTGTGACGTTTTTGTTCCCAATTTACTGTTTTGTGCGTATTTGTACCATCTTGGTAACAGGGTGCTAAGCTGTAAAACTATGGTGTAGTAACACCAATGTTGACAAATTCGCATATTTACACGTTTTTGTTCCTAATTTACTGTTTTGTGCGTTTTGTGTCATCTTGTGGTAACAGGGTGCTTAACTGCTGTAAAACTATGGTAATAACACCTTTTTTGCAAATTTCGCTATTTGTCACGTTTTTTTTGTTCTTAATTTACTGTTTTGTGCGTTTTTGTGTTATCTTGTGGTAACAGGGTGCTTAACTGTGTAAAACTATGGTGTAGTAACACCAATGTTGACAAATTCGCATATTTGTCACGTTTTTGTTCTTAATTTACTGTTTTGTGCGTATTTGTACCATCTTCTGGTAACAGGGTGCTAAGTGCTGTAAAACTATGGTGTAATAACACCACTGTTGACAAATTCGCATATTTGTCACGTTTTTGTTCTTAATTTACTGTTTTGTGCGTATTTGTACCATCTTCTGGTAACAGGGTGCCTAAGTGCTGTAAAACTATGGTGTAGTAACACCAATGTTGACAAATTCGCATATTTGTGACGTTTTTGTTCCCAATTTACTGTTTTGTGCGTATTTGTACCATCTTCTGGTAACAGGGTGCTTAACTGCTGTAAAACTATGGTGTAATAACACCAATGTTGACAAATTCGCATATTTGTCACGTTTTTGTTCCTAATTTACTGTTTTGTGCGTATTTGTACCATCTTCTGGTAACAGGGTGCCTAAGTGCTGTAAAACTATGGTGTAGTAACACCAATGTTGACAAATTCGCATATTTGTGACGTTTTTGTTCCCAATTTACTGTTTTGTGCGTTTTGTGTCATCTTGTGGTAACAGGGTGCTTAACTGCTGTAAAACTAGGTGTAGTAACACCAATGTTGACAAATCGCACATTTGTCACGTTTTTGTTCCTAATTTACTGTTTTGTGCGTATTTGTACCATTTTGTGGTAACAGGGTGCTTAACTGCTGTAAAACTATGGTGTAGTAACACCAATGTTGACAAATTCGCATATTTGTGACGTTTTTGTTCCCAATTTACTGTTTTGTGCGTTTTTGTGTCATCTTGTGGTAACAGGGTGCTTAACTGCTGTAAAACTAGGTGTAGTAACACCAATGTCGACAAATCGCACATTTGTCACGTTTTTGTTCCTAATTTACTGTTTTGTGCGTATTTGTACCATTTTGTGGTAACAGGGTGCTTAACTGCTGTAAAACTATGGTGTAGTAACACCAATGTTGACAAATTCGCATATTTGTGACGTTTTTGTTCCCAATTTACTGTTTTGTGCGTTTCTGTGTCATCTTGTGGTAACAGGGTGCTTAACTGCTGTAAAACTATGGTGTAGTAACACCACTGTTGACAAATTCGCATATTTGTCACGTTTTTGTTCTTAATTTACTGTTTTGTGCGTTTCTGTGTCATCTTGTGGTAACAGGGTGCCTAAGTGCTGTAAAACTATGGTGTAGTAACACCAATGTTGACAAATTCGCATATTTGTGACGTTTTTGTTCCCAATTTACTGTTTTGTGCGTATTTGTACCATCTTCTGGTAACAGGGTGCTTAACTGCTGTAAAACTATGGTGTAATAACACCAATGTTGACAAATTCGCATATTTGTCACGTTTTTGTTCCTAATTTACTGTTTTGTGCGTATTTGTACCATCATCTGGTAACAGGGTGCCTAAGTGCTGTAAAACTATGGTGTAGTAACACCAATGTTGACAAATTCGCATATTTGTGACGTTTTTGTTCCCAATTTACTGTTTTGTGCGTATTTGTACCATCTTCTGGTAACAGGGTGCCTAAGTGCTGTAAAACTATGATGTAGTAACACCAATGTCGACAAATTCACATATTTAACACGTTTTTGTTGTTAATGTGTTTGTTTTGTGCGTTTTTGTGTCTTATTGTGGCAACAGGGTGCCCTAACTGCTGTAAAACAATGATGCAGTAACACCAATGTTGACAAATTCGCATATTTGTCACGTTTTTGTTCTTAATTTACTGTTTTGTGCGTTTTTGTGTTATCTTTCGGTAACAGGGTGCTTAACTGTTGTAAAACTAGGGTGTATTAAAACCAATGTTTTTTCCCTTAGTTAACTAACCTGAATGTCAGGCCTTTATTTTTTCCGCCTTAACGTTAAAAGGGGGAAACCAATAGACCCTTTCGATAATTACATCCCAACATTACCGTTTTACCAATCCCAACATTACCGTTTTAAATTTAGAACCAACTTAAATGAGATGTATTTCAAGTTTTACTCTCACAAGCTATGTCGAAAGATGCAAAACATCCTTCTTCAAGACATGCATGAAAAACAATTCTTCTTTTTGGCAAACAAGTGTGAAAATAAACCGTAACACAAGAACGAGGCTGCTGGTCGTTGCCTGGTAGTCTCGTTTTAATGTTACGACTTATTTCCACATTTATTGGTCAAAATTAAAAATTATTTTTCATGCATGTTTTGAAGAAGGATGTTTTGCATCTTTCCACGTAGCTTGTGAGAGTAAAACTTTAAATCCATCTAAAACTTTAAATCCATTTAAAACGGTAATGTTGTGACGTAATTATCGAAAGGCTCTATTATATATTGAGTTTAAGGAAATGTAAGGAAATATAATATTTTTATCACTGAAATTGGAAGTTCTAATTTTGGTACTGCTTGGCCGGCCTAAATTAATCCAAGTGAACTTCGTCGTTTTGTAATACCTGATTTGTTTCTCTGTGAAACTTTATTTATTTTTTAGATGGTGAGTTTTTCAAATTATAAATTGATTGTTATAAAGACAGCTATAAGATAAAGATGTCGTTGTTTCTGTATTGCCGTATATCTTATTTATTAAAATATGCACAGTTCTTTGCATATATATTGAATATTGCTCTGTCCTCATTGGACAATGTCAATTTTGCTTTAATATTGAATTCACAGGGA